ATGCTCCTAGACCAATGATTCTAATAATCCAAACCCATCTGGAATTGGGGCCAGACTTATATTTCATATGGTCACTTTAGAAGAAATTGGTTCGGATCCACTGTGGGAAAATAGTTAGGGATGCACCTTTATGGTTTTCATTTTCGAAAGAGCATCGAAAATTCTCCTAGACCACTTATCCACATAATCCAAACCCATCTGGAAATCCCACAGTGGCCAGACTTATATTTCATATGGTCACTTTAGAAGAAATTGGTTCGGATCCACTGTGGGAAAATAGTTAGGGATGCACCTTTGTGGTGTTCATTTTTGGAAAGAGCATCGAAAATGCTCCTAGACCACTCATAATCCAAACCCATCTGGAAATCCCACAGTGGCCAGACTTATATTTCATATGGTCACTGTAGGAGAAAGGGGTTTGGACCCACTGTGGGAAAATGGTTAGGGATGCACCTTTATTGTGTCCATTTTTGGAAAGAGCATCGAAAATGCTCCTAGACCACTTATTCTCATAACCCAAACCCATCTGGAAATCCCACAGTAGCTAGACTTTTCGGAAAGAGCATCGAAAATGCTCCTAGACCAATGATTCTCATAATACAAACCCACCTGGAAATCCCACAGTGGCCAGACTTATATTTCATATGGTCACTGTAGGAGAAATTAGTTTGGACCACTGTGGGAAAATGGTTAGGGATGCACCTTTATTGTATCGATTTTTGGAAAGAGCATCTAAAATGCTCCTAGACCAATGATTCTCATAACCCAAACCCATCTGGAAATCCCACAGTAGCTAGACTTTTCGGAAAGAGCATCGAAAATGCTCCTAGACCAATGATTCTCATAATACAAACCCATCTGGAAATCCCACAGTGGCCAGACTTATATTTCATATGGTCGCTGTAGGAGAAATTGGTTAGGACCCGCTGTGGGAAAATTGTTAGGGATACACCTTTATGGTGTTCATTTGCGGAAAGAGCATCGAAAATGCTCCTAGACCACTTATCCTCATAATCCAAACCCATCTGGAAATCCCACAGTGGCCAGACTTATATTTCATATGGTCGCTGTAGGAGAAATTGGTTAGGACCCGCTGTGGGAAAATTGTTAGGGATACACCTTTATGGTGTTCATTTTCGGAAAGAGCATCGAAAATGCTCCTAGACCACTTATCCTCATAATCCAAACCCATCTGGAAATCCCACAGTAGCTAGACTTTTCGGAAAGAGCATCGAAAATGCTCCTAGACCACTTATCCTCATAATACAAACCCATCTGGAAATCCCACAGTGGCCAGACTTATATTTCATATGGTCACTGTAGGAGAAATTGGTTTGCACCCACTGTGGGAAAATGGTTAGGGATGCACCCTTATGGTGTTCATTTTTGGAAAGAGCATCGAAAATGCTCCTAGACCACTTATCCTCATAATCCAAACCCATCTGGAAATCCCACAGTGGCCAGACTTATATTTCATATGGTCACTGTAGGAGAAAGGGGTTTGGACCCACTGTGGGAAAATGGTTAGGGATGCACCTTTATTGTGTTCATTTTTGGAAAGAGAATCGAAAATGCTCCTAGACCACTTATTCTCATAATCCAAACCCATCTGGAAATCCCACAGTGTCCAGACTTATATTTCATGTTGTCCTTCTACTAAACAGTAATAAATGTGGTACAATTTGAATTTGAAAAAATCATATTTTGTATAATTAAAAACATTTCATTTAAAAAATGTAGAAACGTCTAACGACAATGTCAAATGGGAAACCAAAATTTATTTTTATTTTTTTAAAATTGTTCTATAAAGAAAAAAACAAGATTGTAGAAATATAGTATGAACAGTAGTATTTATGTATAAAGTATTGTGATTAAAATAAAAAAATTAATAATATTTATAAAAAAAACGATATTTCTTAATATGGAACATTTGAGAAGAGATAAGAAACACGGTCGCCGTTATGTGTTCTTCTAACGGCTTCGGGAAACATCATAGAAACATTAATGCACTGTATTTTGGGACAACCTCTTATATGGCAATCCTGGGGAATAGTATTTGTAACAAATCAGGCGTTGTTTATGCGAGAGATCGCTGGTCACATTATTGCTATGGTCCAGAAAAGGTAGCATGTGTCAAATTAGCATAAACCTTTGTAGCAACTGCTTCCACCAAACGATCGGCAGCATGAACAATTGTACCACATGTATCGGCCATATCATCGACCAATACAGCAATTTTATCTTTGACATCACCGACAAGCACCATCGAAGCAACTTCATTTGCCTTCTTGCGTTCACAAAGAACGAATTCAACGTTCAAATGATCAGCAATGGACGTCACACGTTTAGCCCCACCAGCATCAGGTGAGACAATAATGGAATTCTTCCATTCTGTAATATTTTCTTTGATTCGTTTTAGAACGGCTAGTTCAGCATAAAGATTGTCCACGGGAATATCAAAGAAACCTTGAATTTGAGATGCATGCAAGTCCATAGTAATAATGTGACCTGCTCCGGCCACTGATAGCATATTTGCAACCAATTTCGCGGAAATTGGGGTGCGACTCATTTCTTTCTTGTCTTGGCGAGCATATGGAAAACAAGGAATCACAGCTGTTACACGGGGTGCTTATGCGATCTTGCAGGCATTGATCATGATCAGCAATTCCATCAAGTTGTCATTAATCTCACCGGAACCAGAGTGTACAATGTACACATCTTCACCGCCACAGATTCACCAATTTCAACACATGTTTCCAAGTTGCTGAATTTATTGGTGACCACTTTGCCCAAATCGATACCCAAACGGTCGACATCCTTTGAGCCGGATCTGGATGCTATGTACCCGAAAACACTGCAACAACTCTAGTTTAGTAAAAACTCTTAGATTTTCTCGAAATTTTTTCCAGAGGTAGGTATTTTTACCCTGATCCCGGGAAACTATTTTTTCTTGGGGGAAGGACCCGGGACCCCGAAAGTCCGGGATAAAGACCTCGCCTGGACCCGGATCCGATATAGACAATATGGGTATCGATTGAAAGCTTATGGAAATACCTATCCAATAAGTGGTCACATGAAGGGGTAAGTTGTCATGGTTCGGAAGTAATAGTCAAGTTATCGATTTTTTGGATCCGGATTTTTTATGAAACCCCCAAAAAGTCAAAAAAGGACCCTTTATGGTGGTCAACAAAATTATAGCTGACACTCTTACCTTTCCAAAATGCTACAATTTGTGCTAATACCTTTTTCGGTTCCAGAGATATGGGTCTTTCCATCCGCATAACCCGATTCTAACCAGTTCATTAAAATGATGTTTTTAATAAAAAAAAGTGTTTATTTCGCGTAGCAGTCGTCGGAATAACAAAAGTTTTCTAAATTTGGCACTTTTTGTAAATAGACGGCCTTCGGCCGGGGCTTTAGATTTTCTCCTCTGGGTATGTCCTAAACCGGCTAACGCGAACCAGAGTTTTCTAAATTTGACACTTTTTGTATATAGCCGGCCTTCGGCCGGGGCTTGAGATTTTCTCCTCTGGGTATGTCCCACACCGGCTAACGCGAACCAAAGTTTTCTAAATTGGATACCTTTTGTAAGTAGCCGGACTTCGGCCGGGGCTTGAGATTTTCTCCTCTGGGTATGTCCTAATTTCATTTTCACGCAAAATATACCTTTTTTTATTGAAAACATAGTTTTAATGAACTGGTTAGAATCGGGTTATGTGGATGGAAAGACCCATATCTCTGGACTCAGTAAAGGTATTAGCACAAATTGAACCTTTTTGGAAAGGTAGAAGTGTCAGCTATAATTTGGCATCAATTTTGTTGCCCCCATAATGGACCCTTTTTTGACTTTTTGGGGGTTTATAAAAAATCTGGGGTCCCAGGTCCGTCCCCCAAGAAAAAAATAACTAGAGTTAAGCCAATTGTCATTCCGTTTGTAGATCCTCGAAATACCTATGCAATGAGGCCAAATTTACAATTAAAAAATTACTGTGAATTTCATACAAATTTATCTTAAACATTGTCATCGTTCCCAACTAATAAACAAACTATGTTTTTTATAAAAACAACAATAAAGGGATAGAGCCTGACCATTTTGCAACAACAAAATACAATGATATACCGAACAAACAAGCCAACACTGTTCTGTTAATTACAATTCAAAATTGATTGCAAGAAAAAATTACGTGTTTGCTTTTTTGTTTTTTTTCTTCAGTAAAAATTCATAATACTTTTGTCTTTGTTGGGAATAGTATCAAAAAAGAAATATTCCAGATCAATTTTTTATTTTAAATTTCCACAAGAAATAATGAATTATTTAAAATAAATCTCGCTATTTTAAATATTCGATTTAACAAATATTTGTCTTATTTATTGATTTCGTAAAACGTATAAGGCATAACAACGCTTTTGTTTAGAATGTAACATACTCTCAGCCCAAGTGATTACCAGTTACTAAAGTTTCAAAGATTGTACTATCGTTTTTAATTGCTTATATTGGAGCTATTTTCAAAAAGCAACTGAAATATAAGAAATATAAAGACTGGTAAAGGTAAATTTGTGTGAGTTTCACAGTAATTTTTCCTTATTGTAATTTTGGCCTTATTGCATAGGTGTTTCGAGGGTCTTCAAACGGAATGACAAAGGTTATAGCATGATCAAGGATATTCGAAATAATATTGGAAGTAATATGAATTAAATACATTTTTTAACTCGCCACTCCTTGAAATTGGTTAAGCAAAAGATGCGCAGTTGTTTTCCACCACACAGTTTTCGTACTCATGTTTCTTTATAGATTTGAAACCTATAATATAAAAAAGGGTGGTGGAAGGTTAAACAACGCATTAAATTCATATAACTACCAATATTATTTCGAATACCCTCCATCATGCTATAACCATGTCATTCCGTTTGTAGTTCCTCGAAATACCAATAAAAGATATCATATTTCTCAGTTCAATCTGCCACTTAGCTACGCACAAAATCTACAATTTGGAGAAACAAGAATGCCAAACATTAAAGTATTTTCGGGTACTTCGCATCCACTTCTGGCTCAAAGGATTGTCGACCATTTGGGTATCGATTTGTGCAAAGCGGTCACCAATAAATTCAGCAGCTTGGAAACATGTGTCGAAATTGGTGAGTCTGTGCGCGGTGAAGATGTGTACATTGTACAATCTGGTTCCGGTGAGATTAATGACAACTTAATGGAATTGCTGATCATGATCAATGCCTGCAAGATCGCATCAGCATCCCGTGTAACAGCTGTGATTCCTTGTTTCCCATATGCTCGCCAAGATAAGAAAGATATGAGTCGCGCCCCAATTTCCGCGAAATTGGTTGCAAATATGCTATCAGTGGCCGGAGCAGATCACATTATTACTATGGACTTGCATGCATCTCAAATTCAAGGTTTCTTTGATATTCCCGTGGACAATCTTTATGCTGAACCAGCCGTTCTAAGATGGATCAAAGAAAATATTACAGAATGGAAGAATTCCATTATTGTCTCACCTGATGCTGGTGGGGCTAAACGTGTGACGTCCATTGCTGATCGTTTGAACGTTGAATTCGCACTCATTCACAAAGAACGCAAGAATGCCAATGAAGTGGCTTCGATGGTGCTTGTCGGTGATGTCAACGATAAAATTGCAGTATTGGTCGATGATATGGCCGATACATGCGGTACAATTGTTCATGCTGCCGATCGTTTGGTGGAAGCAGGTGCTACAAAGGTTTATGCTATTTTGACACATGGTATCTTTTCTGGACCAGCGATTTCTCGCATAAACAATGCCTTCTTTGAGGCTGTGGTTGTTACAAATACTATTCCCCAGGATGGCCATATGAGAGATTGTCCCAAAATACAGTGCATTGATGTCTCTATGATGTTTGCCGAAGCCGTTAGAAGAACACATAACGGCGAAAGTGTTTCTTATCTCTTCTCAAATGTTCCATATATATAAATATGTTAAATGTTTTATATTAATCATAATACTTTATACATAAATACTACTGTTCATACTATCTTTGTACAATCTTCTTTTTTCTTTATACAACAATTTTAAAAGAATAACAAAAATAAATGTTGGATTCCCATTTGACATTGTCGTCAGACGATTATGCATTTCCTAAATGAAAATTTTTAATTATAAAAAATATAATTTTTTATATATTAAATGAAATATAAATTCTTGATTACGTTCTTTTAATATTAAGGGTTCTCTTTACTTCATGGTGGGGGCATTAAAATTACCATATTTAGAATATTATTTAATTTAAATTTAAGTAAAAAATGGTAAAAAATTATAGACAGCAAAAAAAATCTCTCTAAAATGCATCAACTAATAGAATTCGTAAATAGAAGTGTGAGTCCTTTTTAGAGAATGGAGGATTTTTCGCCGTCTTCGTTGCGTGCTCTGAGAGTTCAATACAGTTAATTATCTGATCTGCATCATCTTCAACATCTGGTACAACACCTAATAATGTAAAACATGAGCGTTACAAGTCAATGTATTTCTTGCTGTTCCGTAGTTTTATGTTTCATAATAATGATAATAAAATTGGTTTTTGTATTAACTTTGTCATTCCATTTGTAACTTTTCGACGTACTTATATTAGATCCAATAAATACTATACTCTGTATTTTGACGACTTCGACTCGCAGTACTTCATGTGATTTTCGCAAAATTCTCCTACAAAGCATCATTGTAGAAGCATGACGTCTACGATTATGATATCCTTCATCAGATTTCACTATAAGTAATCAAATAGAAAAAGATCTTCAAAAAAAAATTAGTATCAAGGTTGCTCAAAATCTTGAAAATATTTCACACTTTTATTAATAAAATTGTACCGACTTTTTTGATTTGCTTCATGAAAGAAACATAACATTTACTTTTAGGCAGAAAGTGTCAAAACAAGAAGTATTCTACACAACTTTTTCTATTCAAAAATCAAAGTAAGCTATTTACATAGGCTTAAAAGTGCTATAGTTAATTACAATTCAAAATTGAGTGCAAAGAAAAATGATGTTTGCTTTTTTTTTTTTTCTTTTTTTTTTTTTTTTGCAGTAAAAATCTTTCTTAATACTTCTGTCTTTGTTGGGAAAAGTATCAATAGAAGAAATACTCCAGATCGATTTTCCATTTTTAATTTACACAAAGTCAGCACTTTATCTGAATTTGATGCAAACATTCAACATCCAGTAGGCTGTAGAATATGAAATATGAAATTCGTACAAAACAAAATGTAAACAAAACAAAGGGCCACAGTTATAAAAAGGTCCCATTATAGGGGTCAACAAAGTTGATGCCAAATTATAGCTGACACTCTTACCTTTCCAAAATCATACAATTTGAGCTAATACCTTTTTCGGGTCCAGAGATATGGGTCTTTCCATTCGCATAACTCAATTCCAAAATGCTACAATTTGTGCTAATACATTTTCGGGTCCAGAGATATTCTCTTCTGGGTAAATTTAACAGTTGTTGTAAGTAGCCGGCCTTCGTCCGGGGCTCGAGGTTTTTTCTCTGGGTATGTGCCACACCGGCTAACGCGAACCAAAGTTTTCCAAATTTGATACTTTTTGTAAGTCGCCGGCCTTCGGCCGGAGCTTGAGGTTTTCGCCTCTGGGTATGTCCTACACCGGCTAACGCGTACTTGGACTTTCGGGTTAAAAATCGTGGTCCCAGGTCCGTCCCCCAAGAAAAAAATAGTTTCCCGGAATCATAGTAAAAATACTTACCTCTGGAAAAAATCGAAGAGTTATTTAGAGTTGCTTCAAAGTATCAGATTAAGGGAAGATTTGTTTTGCGCAGCCGGTGAAATATTTTGATCCACAAACCAAATTCAGATAAAGTGCAGACTTTGTGTAAATTAAAAATGGAAAATTGATCTGAAATATTTCTTTTATTGATACTTTTCCCAACAAAGGCAGAAGTATTAACGAAGATTTTTACTGAAAAAAAAAACCAAAAAACGCAAACACATAATTTTCCTTTGCAATGAATTTTGAATTGTAATTAACTATAGCACCTTTAAGCCTATGTAAATAGCTTACTATGATTTTAGAATAGAAAAATACATTTTCTACCCAAAAGTGAATGTTATGTCTCTTTCATGAAGCAAATCAAAAAATGTCGGTACAATTTTATTAATAAAAGTGCGAAATATTTTCAAGATTTTGGGCAACCTTGATACAATTTTTTTTGATCTTTTTTATTTGATTACTTATAGTGAAATCTGATGAAGGATATCATAATCGTAGACGTCATGCTTCTAAAATGATGCGTTGTAGGAGAATTTTGCGAAAATCACATGAAGTACTGCGAGTCGAAGTCGTCAAAATACAGAGTATATTATTTATTGGATTTAATATAAGTACGTCGAAAAGTTACAAATGGAATGACAATGTTAATACAACAACCAATTTTATTATTTGATGTTTTACATTATAAGGTGTTGCATTAGATGTTGAAGATGATGCAGATCATATAATTAACTGTACTTTTTTCAGGCTCTCTCAGAGCACGCAATGAAGACGGCGAAAAATTCGGCATTCTCCATTCTACAAAAAGGACGCACATTTCTATTTACGAATTCTATTAGTTGACGCATTTTAGACAGATTTTTTTCGTTGTCTATAATAAGAAAATAAAATAATATCCTATTACCATTTTTACTTAAATCTATTAAATTTAAATTTTATTACCTCGTCATGAAGTAGACAACCATTAAAATAAAAAGATCGTAATCAAGAATTTATATTTCATTTAATATATAAAAATATCATATTTTTTTATAATTAACATTACATTACAATGAAGAAATACATAATCGTCTAACGACATTGTCAAATGGGAAGCCAAAATTTATTTTTGTTACTCTTTTAAAATTGTTGTATGAAGAAAAAACAAGATTGAACAAGATTAAACATATTTATAAAAAAATGACATTTCTTAATATGGAACATTTGAGAAGAGATAAGAAACACTTTCGCCGTTATGTGTTCTTCTAACGGCTTCGGCAAACATCATAGAGACATCAATGCACTGTATTTTGGGACAATCTCTCATATGGCCATCCTGGGGAATAGTATTCGTAGCAACTACATCCTCAAAGCAGGCATTATTTATGCGAGAAATCGCTGGTCCAGAAAAGATAACATGTGTCAAAATAGCATAAACCTTTAAAAAGCATCATTGTAGAAGCATGACGTCTACGATTATGATATCCTTCATCAGATTTCACTATAAGTAATCAAATAGAAAAAGATCTTCAAAAAAAATTAGTATCAAGGTTGCTCAAAATCTTGAAAATATTTCACACTTTTATTAATAAAATTGTACCGACTTTTTTGATTTGCTTCATGAAAGAAACATAACATTTACTTTTAGGCAGAAAGTGTCAAAACAAGAAGTATTCTACACAACTTTTTCTATTCAAAAATCAAAGTAAGCTATTTACATAGGCTTAAAAGTGCTATTGTTAATTACAATTCAAAATTGAGTGCAAAGAAAAATTATGTTTGCTTTTTTTTTTTTTTTTGCAGTAAAAATCTTTCTTAATACTTCTGTCTTTGTTGGGAAAAGTATCAATAGAAGAAATACTCCAGATCGATTTTCCATTTTTAATTTACACAAAGTCAGCACTTTATCTGAATTTGATGCAAACATTCAACATCCAGTAGGCTGTAGAATATGAAATATGAAATTCGTACAAAACAAAATGTAAACAAAACAAAGGGCCACAGTTATAAAAAGGTCCCATTATAGGGGTCAACAAAGTTGATGCCAAATTATAGTTGACACTCTTACCTTTCCAAAATCATACAATTTGAGCTAATACCTTTTTCGGGTCCAGAGATATGGGTCTTTCCATTCGCATAACTCAATTCCAAAATGCTACAATTTGTGCTAATACATTTTTCGGGTCCAGAGATATTCTCTTCTGGGTAAATTTAACAGTTGTTGTAAGTAGCCGGCCTTCGTCCGGGGCTCGAGATTTTTCTCTGGGTATGTGCCACACCAGCTAACGCGAACCAAAGTTTTCCAAATTTGATACTTTTTGTAAGTCGCCGGCCTTCGGCCGGGGCTTGAGGTTTTCGCCTCTGGGTATGTCCTACACCGGCTAACGCGTACTTGGACTTTCGGGTTAAAAATCGTGGTCCCAGGTCCGTCCCCCAAGAAAAAAATAGTTTCCCGGAATCATGGTAAAAATACTTACCTCTGGAAAAAATCGAAGAGTTATTTAGAGTTGCTTCAAAGTATCAGATTAAGGGAAGATTTGTTTTGCGCAGCCGGTGAAATATTTTGATCCAAAAACCAAATTCAGATAAAGTGCAGACTTTGTGTAAATTAAAAATGGAAAATTGATCTGAAATATTTCTTTTATTGATACTTTTCCCAACAAAGGCAGAAGTATTAACGAAGATTTTTACTGAAAAAAAAAACCAAAAAACGCAAACACATAATTTTCCTTTGCAATGAATTTTGAATTGTAATTAACTATAGCACTTTTAAGCCTATGTAAATAGCTTACTATGATTTTAGAATAGAAAAATACATTTTCTGCCTAAAAGTAATGTTATGTCTCTTTCATGAAGCAAATCAAAAAATGTCGGTACAATTTTATTAATAAAAGTGCGAAATATTTTCAAGATTTTGGGCAACCTTGATACAATTTTTTTTGATCTTTTTTATTTGATTACTTATAGTGAAATCTGATGAAGGATATCATAATCGTAGACGTCATGCTTCTAAAATGATGCGTTGTAGGAGAATTTTGCGAAAATCACATGAAGTACTGCGAGTCGAAGTCGTCAAAGTACAGAGTATATTATTTATTGGATTTAATATAAGTACGTCGAAAAGTTACAAATGGAATGACAATGTTAATACAACAACCAATTTTATTATTTGATGTTTTACATTATAAGGTGTTGCATTAGATGTTGAAGATGATG